GGCCTCCCAGAGTGCTAGGATTACAGGCGTGAGCCACCGCGCCCGGCCCAATTATTTATTTTTAAAAGCGTAGTAAGGCAGATTTTATTCAGGACTATCATGATAAGTATAGGGGCCACTATAGTGGTATTTTGTAGTGGGGGAGAAAGATTGGACTTGACTCTGAATACCACATGGGCAAGTGGGAATTTATAGCCAAGGAGCAGGGGGAAGGTCAGTGGATGGAAAATTACTAAGAGGAAACATCAGAAGTAAGAGGGATTCTGGCTATAAACCAACCTAACACAGGACTCTTGCTGGAGACAGACCAAGGTGATCAGACAACCCCTTGGGATGGTAGAGGATGAGGAAGCTGATCAAACATCAAGGATGACCAGATATTTGGTGGGAAAGGTTCCTTGCTAAATTGACGTAGCAGGTTCTTTGCTAACACTGGATTTTACAAGGAAATGCACAAACGAACGGGTCTATGAGGAGGTTCAGGAGCCTGACTCAAGTTAGGTCAATCAGAGAATCTTTATTTCCCCTCTTGTTCAAGAAAAAAAGAGACATTCTTCTTTCCTTTGAACAATATGTAAGTCCATTTTCTCATTCAGTTTCCTTTGTTCCGTAAGAACTGGCCAAATCATCTGTTGGGAGTTGGTAGTAGAGGATATTTGCTGGATGGTACTAGCAGTCAGCCATTTAATGGAGGGTGGATTTCTATGAAAATAGACAAAAAGAAAGATTAATTGTTGGAAACCCATCAGTTGAGGAGATTTCTAGGTGTTGGGCTCAAGGATGGCAGTGGCAATCTGATTTCCTGGTTTGCAGTTTGAATGTCTGGTGATGCCACTGGGTGTTCTAGTAGTTTCTTTTTTGTTTTTTGTTTTTGCTTTTATTATTATCTTTAATTGACAATAATTATACATATTTGTGGGGTACAGTGTGATATTTTGATACATGTATACAATGTGTAATGATCAAATAAGGGTAATTAGCATATCTATCACCTCAAATTTTTGTGTGTGTTGAGAACATTCAAAATCTACTTTTCCTGCTATTTGAAAGTATACAATAAATTGTTAATTATAGTCACCCTATAGTGCCATAAAACACTAGAATTTATTCCTCCTATCTAGCTGTACTTTTGTATCTGTTAACCAACCTTTGGCTGTTCCCCACTACCCTTCCCGCCTCTAGTAACCACTGTGCTACTCTCTACCTCTATGAGGCCAGCTTTTATAGCTTCCACACATGAATGAGAACATGTGGTATTTACCTTTCTTTTTATTTTACTTTTTTTTTCTGGGTGAAATTCAGGTAAATTTTAATATTCTAA